CGCCGCCCCGCCCCTCCCCGCCTCTGCAAACACCGGCCTGGCCTAGTGCGGCTGTGTGCGGCTCTGCCACACGGCGCGCGGCCTTCACCGCCTGAAGCCCGGGCGTACGGCACGCAGCCGAACCTCCTCCAGACTCCGGGCAGATCCTAGCGACTAACGGACTCCAGGCAACACAGTGCCCAGGCAGCAGACGAGCTCTCAGCTGTGAATACACTGCAGATGCAGAACAGTGCGAGACCGTGTCCTCACACGCACTGCAGCAACTGCCGCTCCTATTTCCCTGCGGTGCCCCTCAGAGGACATGGCAGCTAATAAGTTTAGCACTTAAAAAAACCCCACCACCTCCAAACAATCCCCACTCCACTCTGTCTCCAGAATTCTTTCCCACTGAAAGCCTGAAAAGAGAACAAACAGACCACTTGCTTCCACTTCAAAAAGTGCATCAGTAAGCCACCAATAATAAAGTTGGGGGAAAAAAACAACAGAAAGGAAAAATTTCCATACAGTGTCTTCATCAGCTTCAACGCGTGTGGTAACAGCTCATGTTCTCCTAGGAGCTCACCAAGTCAAGTAACTTTGGCATAGAGCTAAAAGGTACACATGGTCTACTTCATGAGTTTGCTAATAACTGTTTCTTTCAAAGTAATTATTTTAATTCTCCACAGTACACATCATCTGGAAATCACATAAATACAATTTCTTTCCATTAAGGTAATATTTGTAATATTGTAACTTTAGATGGTAACTGTTCACAAAAATGACCAGTTCATGCCATTGAAAAGTCCCACAAACACGCTGCGACTACACAGCGCACTACAGCTCTTCTGTTCTACAGGAAAAGAGGATGCTTGTGTCAGACAAGCAGTTTATTTCGTTAGTGACCAGTTCTTCCCCACATCCTGGGCCACTCCAGAAAGCCTGCATCAAAAGCTAGCTTTTTTAATGACTGCTGGAGATGCGTTGGCAACATTGGTCTTGGGAATAAACATAATTTATAAGGTAAGAAATTAAATATCCTAGCTGTATCACTATGCCTTTACCAGTACAACACACAGAAAAGCTCTGCATCATTAACAGCTGCTACCATTCAGAGCTCACCTGTGTAAAGACTCTAAAATCAAGGCATAAGCAAACAGCAGCCCCAACACTTGAAAAAAAAAGTTTAAAGGATGTTTACAGATCTAAAATTCGAGAAAACTAATGCAATTGTTTTTAAACATGCAATAATTTATGACCTAAACTTCTCATACCTGACAAAGATTCTCCCACTCTAGCAGATTCAGAAGATATATTCCAGCTCAAAAAAACCACATTCCCCCAAATCTAGCTGTCTTCAGATTGAGGGAAAGAAAAGAAAAAGAAGAGGGAGAGGCAGTACAGGATCACCTCTGCACAAGGTCTCAAACAGAATGCAAACGCCTGTCCGACAGTTTGTACCCACTGAAGGCATTCTGGAACCCCGGGTCACTAAGGCGTATCCCAGGTAACTGAATCATCCAATGGATGTGGGCTGGAACGGACCTTACAGACCACCCAGTTCCAACCACCTGCGGTGGGCAGGGACCCCTTCCACCAGCCCAGGGTGCTCCAAGCCCCGTCCAACCTGGCCTTGAACCCTGCCAGGGAGGGGGCAGCCGCAGCTTCTCTGGGCAGCCTGGGCCTCACCACCCTCACGGGGAAGAATTTCTCCTGTCTAGCTCACAGCCGGCCTGCGACAGGCCCTGCCCGGTCCCAAACGAACCGAATCCCCAGCGCCCTTACCTCACTCGGGCTAAATAACTCAATCAACGTATCGATAACCACACGCACCGGGTCCGGACGGCTCAGGCCAACGCACACCACTCGGCCTGTCCCACTCGAGCGCTGATCGCACACAATCAACGGGAACGGACGGAAGAGATGGAGGAGCAGCGAGCACCGGGCGGCGCCGGGCCCGTCCGCCCCGGCCTATACCGGCAGCCTCGGCGGCCCAAACC